TTTGGGATGGCTTGTCCTACAGTCCTTATGCACAGGAGAGCTTGGGTACCACAGTTGTCCCTATCACAAGAGCACACAAAGTCAGAAGTCTACTCAGGTCCTCCTCCATGAATCCATGCAAAAGCCTGGCCCTTCACTTTCATGGATTCAGGAAGGTGATCATCTCTGCTCTTCTTAGCTAGGTTTTATTTTTGGTCAAATGTATAGAATTAAGCTTTCAAGGTAGAACACTTCAGATTTTATTCTTTGGATTCTGCTTTTGTGCTGTTTGAGTCTCGCACTTCTTCTAACACACATGATGAAATCCTGTAGGTATTTCTGGAGAGAATCTGAATATATTCTTATGCTTTCTGAAACTCAAATAGATTTCAAAGCCTAGATAAAATGACCTAAGGTGACATCGCTTGGCTATGAAGCTATTCTCAGCTTTCTTTAATTTTCCTTTAGACTAATGAAATTCAAACTGTTTATGGAATCTCAGGATCTGAGACATCAAAGACAAACGTGGCCTATTGGTCCATCTCCCTGCCAAGGTAGGATTGTTCCCTATACCATGGAACAGCATCTAGTGTTTTGTCAAAGCTAGTTCCAAATGATGGGTCTTCTGACTTTTGTCTAGAAAGACTGTCCTGCAGCCTAATATATCCCACTGTCAGGAAACTTCTCTTAATGTCTAGCCTAACCTTCCTTTTCTTAATTACACCCCTTTACACCTATGTAAGCCCCCATGTTCTACCCTAAATTATGCCTCTCCATCAGTGTTCCCACCATTCAAATATTATGCCCCCTCACAGTTAGCAGATCTATAAGATCTATAAGACCACAGTTGGTCAAGCTATAAACATTTAGCCTTTTTAATTTTTTCTTGCAAATCAATACATCCATTCTGCCCATGCCCACAACCAAACAATCCAGTCAATCTTCTCTGAGCTTCTTTCAGTTTCTCAACTGCCTTTTGCCAATGTGGTGACCCAGAGTAGAACACAGTGGACTTGGTTCCCTTCTCTTTTATGCCCCTGTAATGCCATTAACCTCAGCAAGTTACTTCGGGTCTACGCTGGCATAAGTGAGAGGAGACTCAGACCCATTATTTCATGCGCAGTCCTACAAAGATCATGAAGAAAGCTCCAGAAAGTGATGTCTCCCTGCATGAGACTCAAAACTGTATGGACCTTTTTATTCTAGCCAAACTCATGTTTAATTTGCTGTCCCTTACCACTGCAAGGTACCTCTTTCATCAGCAGGGCTTTCCAGGTCTTCCCCTCCCTTTCTGTGTATTGGTACTTATTTTGATTTAAATGGTTAAAAAATATAAAGACATCTATACTAGACTCTAGATCGCCTATCACTCTATTAATATTACAACATAAACTCAGCACCATTAAACAGTCGATCAGACAGGAACTCAGCCACTTGGTTGTCTCCAAAAATAAGTCCTTTCTGCTCCTTCATCATTCTGGGAGCATACCCTCAACCCTCTCCAAAACCCCTGTCTTTTGCAGCGTGCCCAGAGGTAGCCAAATACAGACTATTCCAGACCCAGGGGGGAAGCACCCTCCGTGGTCCCCACTTGTCAGCAGCGTCCTTGCTTTTACAAAGGGGAACCAGTGGGAGTATGGCAGGGGGAGAGAGGCAATCTTGTAGATAGACAGTACATGTGGTTTCAATTATTTTCCTTTCAGTGCATTAGGTTCCATGTCTCCAAACCCAATCTCACTTTGCTGTTTTCTGTCTGTCTCTGAACTTGCTAAGTTGTTTTTTTAACATTTCCTCTGTTCTGAGTGATGTTTGCAAATTAGTATCATCTGTAAATTTCATTAACATGCCATTTACGCCCTCTTTTAAACCATGAGTGAAGACATGGAGTAAGATCTCTCCCATGGCTGACTGATCTGTCCATCTAGGCATTTATGCCATGTTCCTCAATGTAGTATACTACTAGACCCCTCCTCCCAACTCGATCCATCTCACATAGAATCATAGAAATGGAGGGCTGGAAGGGATCTCAATATGTCATGCAATCCATCTGCCCATGCAGAGGCAAGATTAAGTATGCTTCCTAACAGGTGTTTGTGTAATGTACACATAAATATCTAGCACTGAACTCCCATCTCTCCCTTCACATGCTTGCTACGCTATAGAATGCAAGTTTTCTACAACTCTTTTTTATGGGAACAGAGAAACACAGGCATCATGATTCTAGGAGACAGAATATAACATTTTACTCAGTCTCCCATAAAAAACTCAACCTGGACCTGGAGGACCAAGAACGTTATGGTTTTAACTAGAGCTGCTCAAAAATCTTCAACCGAAACATTTTTCAACAGAAAAGTTGGTTTTCGAATAAATGACTTCTTCTTTTTTTTTGGCAGAAAAGGTCTTTGATTTTTTTGTTGGCAAACAGAAAGCCCCAAACCTGAAAATGTTGGGCCTTTTTGTTTTAATTTTGTTTTTATGAACTGTCAGAATTATCCATTAACATTTTGATGAAAACCAACTCTTTTAGTGGTTTGAGTTTTCATCAACATTTTCTGACTAGCTCTATTTTCAGCTTAACTCCACAAGCTCTTCTCATTTACAAGTGATTCCTATCTTTCTACCCCAATGAATTTCCAAATTATATCTGAACATATGCCCTTCCTTCCCTCTTGTACCTTTTCATTTCTTTCTCCGTCTGATATTATTTAACTCTGGAGTTTTATGGCTGAATAAACTCTGTGAAGCATTTAGGATAAACTTTGTGTCAGAGATACTTATGCACCATTAAGCCTTATCATATTCTATATGAAGGACTGCAGGAGTTTTGCAAACAAGATTCAATCAGCTAAACATTAAGACTATATCAATCTAGATAGTGTCTTTGTACAGAGAACACAACCAGACAAGATTCATTAGTCCTGCAATTAATCCTGTTACTGAAACTCACCTCATATTTGCATTGGGCACTGTTAGTTCCACCAGGGACAGGAAAATGTGGCAGATCTGGCAATTTCCTGCAATATCCTTGGGAGACCTTATTAAATTATGTTTAAGTATCTTTGGAGCCCATTGTATTAAATGAATTGTTTATGTATTCTTGTGGGCTGGGATTGTATGCAACCTCTGGGGTGTGGGGGGCGGATGTGATAAGTGCGAGAGCTGGGAGCTCAAGGGACTATATAGAACTATGTGCCAGGCAAGAATGGGCTTTTGGAACAAAAGATATTAAGTTGTTTTCCTGGGAATTTCTCCAGAGAAGTGAATGCAAATTCCGCACCTCTGGGTATGCAAAAATCCAAAATTGAAACTATGCCCTGAGGAGCAGTCCATTTTCTGCTGGTCACCTCTTACAAGAGGCCAAGATCAAAGGGCCAAGCTGTATAAAGTAAAGACTGAACTATCCCTGGTGGTGCTGGTTCTGAGACAGTTATGAACTTGTAACCCACGGGGAAAACCCAGCAGTGGATTTTGAAGGACTGACACCTACCAGAGCCTGAGGTTGGAGTTGGGGTGATTTCGGGTAAGCCTTTTAGCATGCACATAGGTTCTTTTATTGTTTTTAATATGTTTTCCCTCTGATTATTTTTTATCTTAACAATAAATGTTCTTGCTTATACAGAGTGGTGTACAAACTTATAGATGTGGGCCAAGATGTTGTTCACAGCCTCTGGGGAGCAGGGGTGGTGGAACAATCTGTATAGTAGGGATGCTGAGGGACATTGAATCAAACTGTAAACCCTGTATATGATGGAAACCACTTCAAGCCAGGGGGTGCTTCAGCACCCCCCCGCCCCCACATCCCTAGTTCCAGCACCTATGCTTAGGGTGACCAGACAGCAAATGTGAAAAATCGGGACGGGGGGTGGGGGGTAATAGGAGCCTATATAAGAAAAAGACCCCAAAATTGGGACTGTCCCTATAAAATGGGGACATGTGGTCACACTACCTATGCTGGAGAGAAAGCAAAACACAGACTCTGGCCAGTTTAGGCCATCTAGCTTGCTGGGAATAGCACGGTGTAGGCAGAGAACTGCGCTGCCAGGAAAAACCCTAGTCAGAAGGGAGTGAGATGTGGGTCTCTGTCCAAGAGAGGTGATGGCTGAGGAGCCAGGAACCTAGCGTGGGTGCCATAGAGGGGAACACACGTGCGATTGCTCAGAACTGTGGTACTAGCAGTTATTCCGAGCACAGGATTGCTAACAATCTTAGGAAGAAACAATGTCAGCCAATGTTATCTCCAGGGTGCACAGGGGAGGATGGCAGTGCAAAGATAATGCATTTCCTTGGATACTACCAGAGAGGAGAAGATTGCTCCAAAGCACTCCTCTCAGGATGCGTGCTTTGTCTGGGACACAGATGCAGGAAAGGGCAGATCGATATCCCTGTGGAGGAAAAAGGGGCCTGGCACAAAGAAGCATCAACAGGAGCTAAAGTGGCAGCTCCTTTTCCAACAATGCTCCATAGCCCTGCAGTGTTGAGGTGACTACTGCCCCAGGGAGAGGGGAAGAGGCAGCGGGAAAGCTGCCGGGGAGAAGCTGACAAGGACAATGGCGTTTCTTAATGAGTAAAATAACTCAGCAGAATGGTACCACCTCTCAGTACATTGACTTGCTCTGGTCTTCACCATGGTGCATCTGATCTGGTCTGAATCATTAGGTGCTGGAGCCAGGGTTGCTGGTGATGCTGCCGCACCCCCTGGTTTGAAGTCGTTTTCAGGGTACACAGAGTTTACAGGTTAGTTCAATGGCTCTCAGCACCCCCACTTTGCAAACTGCTCTAGCATCTCTGTTGTGAATAAGCAGTGTCTATATCATCTACCCCGACAGGGAGCTACCTGCTGCCACTGTATCACACCTTTGATGTCCCTTAGCTGATGCTTCAGATGCCTTCCTTTGAAACGGGTAGCTGTAACTTATAGGGAACTTATAACTCACCCTCTTCGCTCACCAAAATAATCTTGCTCACTCGCAGAAAGAGAGAGAGAGAGATAGAGGTTAAAGGATCTGCAGGCAGCTGCTTACTTTCCAATTGGTTGTCCAGCAGGTGTATGCTCCACTTCAAAGCCTGCTTGTCTCAGCACATCAATCACAGTATTGTTACCCAGGAAGTGACCTAAAACATGGACAGAAAAACAGCCACGTCACTCAAACTGCTCCTTGAGGGTACTCCCTCCGTTCGACCCAAGCTCGGAGGAGTAGGTTACCAAAGACTGGGCTGGCTCCAAGGACAACAAGTCATGGCAAGCAACTGGTTGGGGCCCCAGAATCCTGAACGAGACTCAGCTGCTCACAGCCTGGTCCACTACTCCACTTTGGGCAGTAGCAAGGAGAGGAGCCAACTCACAGCCTGACACGCTGCCCCCTGCGGGCCAGGGATTGATCAAATGGGTAGGCAACTCAAGGGCCAATTCTTCCACGGCAACTTGGAGCCTGCAGCTTGTTCTGTTAGCTCTGTACAGCTGCCGTTTTAAACACGGGTACATGCACGCACGCTAAATCATCCCCTCACCCGGGTTTTACAATTGTTCCTGCAAACGGTGAGAGAAGTATTATTAGTCATCCTAACTGTATTCAGACTAAGCATCTATTCAGGAGTAAGACTGGGGGGAATGCAGGACTAGATGACCTCCTCAGGTCTCTTCCAATCCTAATCTTCTATGATGCTATGACACAAATACTCTGCTAAATACCACAGTGCAGTCAGGCCACGTTTATATCCCTTGTTACCTAGTGTTCCTAACGTCTGTGCGAATAGGTTAGGCTTGTGTGATTGTTTAGGGCATAGTATTTTCTCTAGGAGAATTGGCTGAAGTGGGACTCAGAGTGGATAGATGGATCTTATGCTGGTTCTCTGCACATCGGTGAATTTCAGCATTGGTTGCTAACCTCAAGTATTTAAAAAAAACATGAAATCAGCTAAAAATCAAGAGATTCATGAGAATGAATTTTGGATTCTTTTCATTGGTCCGTGGGGTTTTGAGCCTTTGGGATTTGTCATAAGGTGCCTTTACCCCACACTGCCCCATTGGCTGAGTGTACTATGGCTGGCAACCCCAGCCTTAGTTTCCCTTTTGAGGTTGGTCTTCTCAGCTTCCCAGATACAGGTCTGTGTGGGAGATGTGGCTTAGCTCTCCAGCCAAGTCACAACCCAAGGGAAGGTCATGCCTGACTAATCTAATCGCCTTTTATGATGAGATTACTGGTTCTGTGGATGAAGGGAAAGCAGTGGATGTATTGTTTCTTGACTTTAGCAAAGCTTTTGACACAGTCTCCCACAGTATTCTTGTCAGCAAGTTAAGGAAGTATGGGCTGGATGAATGCACTATAAGGTGGGTAGAAAGCTGGCTAGATTGTCGGGCTCAACGGGTAGTGATCAATGGCTCCATGTCTAGTTGGCAGCCGGTATCAAGTGGAGTGCCCCAAGGGTCGGTCCTGGGGCCGGTTTTGTTCAATATCTTCATAAATGACCTGGAGGATGGTGTGGATTGCACTCTCAGTAAATTTGCGGATGATACTAAACTGGGAGGAGTGGTAGATATGCTGGAGGGGAGGGATAGGATACAGAAGGACCTAGACAAATTGGAGGATTGGGCCAAAAGAAATCTGATGAGGTTCAATAAGGATAAGTGCAGGGTCCTGCACTTAGGACGGAAGAACCCAATGCACAGCTACAGACTAGGGACCGAATGGCTAGGCAGCAGTTCTGCGGAAAAGGACCTAGGGGTGACAGTGGACGAGAAGCTGGATATGAGTCAGCAGTGTGCCCTTGTTGCCAAGAAGGCCAATGGCATTTTGGGATGTATAAGTAGGGGCATAGCGAGCAGATCGAGGGACGTGATCGTTCCCCTCTATTCAACATTGGTGAGGCCTCATCTGGAGTACTGTGTCCAGTTTTGGGCCCCACACTACAAGAAGGATGTGGATAAATTGGAGAGAGTCCAGCAAAGGGCAACAAAAATGATTAGGGGTCTGGAACACATGAGTTATGAGGAGAGGCTGAGGGAGCTGGGATTGTTTAGCCTGCAGAAGAGAAGAATGAGGGGGGATTTGATAGCTGCTTTCAACTACCTGAAAGGGGGTTCCAAAGAGGATGGCTCTGGACTGTTCTCAATGGTAGCAGAAGACAGAACGAGGAGTAATGGTCTCAAGTTGCAGTGGGGGAGGTTTAGATTGGATATTAGGAAAAACTTTTTCACTAAGAGGGTGGTGAAACACTGGAATGCGTTACCTAGGGAGGTGGTAGAATCTCCTTCCTTAGAGGTTTTTAAGGTCAGGCTTGACAAAGCCCTGGCTGGGATGATTTAACTGGGAATTGGTCCTGCTTCGAGCAGGGGGTTGGACTAGATGACCTTCTGGGGTCCCTTCCAACCCTGATATTCTATGAACCCATGTAATCCCTTTTGGGGTACCAAGAGTCCAAACTGAAAAGTTCCAAGCAAACAAAAATGTTCTTCTACCCTTCAGGCCTTCTCTTCAGCCCACCCGCGGGGCCTTGTTTGCAGCCCCTTTCTGAAGCCCCACCCCCTCCCTGGCTTCAGAGCCTGAGCTGCTGCCTAATCTATTTTTAGTACCACAATGCAAGCCCCAGTCTGTCAAAGAGGCTGAGGGAACTTGGGTTATTTAGTCTGCAGAAGAGAAGAAGGAGGGAGGATTTGATAGCAGCCTTCAACTACCTGGAGGGGGGTTCCAAAGAGGATGGAGTTAGGCTGTTCTCAGTGGTGGCAAACGACAGAACAAGGAGCAATGGTCTCCAGTTGCAGTGGGGGAGGTCTAGGTTGGATATTAGGAAAACACTATTTCACTAGGAGGGTGGTGAAGCACTGGAATGGGTTACCTAGGGAGGTGGTAGAATCTCCATCCTTAGAGGATTTTAAGGCCAGGCCTGACAAAGCCCTGGCTGGGATGATTTAGTTGGGGTTGGGCCTGCTTTGAGCAGGGGGTTGGACTAGATGACCTCCTGAGGTCTCGTCCAACCCTAATCTTCTGTGATTCTAACCCAGGCTCTGAGACTTGCTGCTGCGGGCAACCACTTGCGTGTAGACGCACCCTGAGGATTCAAGGGTAATTCAGTCTCCAGTCTCTTTTAAGCCTCGGTCTCCCTGGCTAAACTGCCAACAAGGATGCTAATTAGTATCAGTTGTGAGTGTGATGTGGTTATAGGGGTTTTAGTGCAACCCGCAAGCATCATAAACAGTTTTTAGCCAAAAGACTTTTCTTTAAAAGATTCAAATCACATTTGCAGGCCCTAACTTGTTCCAGGATTCCACTGCCTCCTTTTCAGAAACATAAAAAATTGATTTTCCCCCTGACTAACTTGCTTATAACTAAAGCCAAAGAAGCAGTCCCAAAAATGTGTTCCACGCCCTCAGAGAGGAGAGCAATGTGACATTTGTGAGCGATTGATTTGATTTGATCATAACTGGATTTTTTTAAAACAATGCCAGAGCAAACAAAGGCCCGATCCTGCAACTGGTTGAACAGAGGGCTGAAAGTGGAATCAGGAACAAAGACGTCTCCGTGTCCATGCTCCAATGTCCTAGTTTTTCTCGACATGGAATACAAGTTGCCAACAATTGTATTTGTAGGAACAAGTGTCCTGAATCTTATTAACCTTTGACCTTTATATCATAATACCAAAAGAAACCCAATTATAATTCTTCAAAGCTCTTAATTAATTTAGTCCTGGCAAAAAGTAGCATAATAACAACCCTAAATCCACATCTATCCTCATCATGACCAGGCAGCAGCGTTACCAGCTTCCCAACAACGCCCTGTCAATACATTCAGGGGTGAGAGATATTTTGGCCTTCTGATCCTTTGGCTTCTCTGTTAGACTGCCAACAAGGATGCCACCTGTGGATCTGGTTGGCTTTTGTTGAGTACTTACGTTATTTAGATTGAGGAAAGTATGGGATGGTGGCAGTTTTGGTCTCACTGCATTCCAAATTTGGACACATTTGTTTTCTGCCTTCCGGCATTTGTCGTGGACTGAAATACTACAGTGTTGGGGATAACTTGTATTAATTAACAATTTTTGTCATGCAGACACCTGTCGACCAGGATGTGGACAGAGACCATTAATCATTTCACCCAACAGTTTTTGGATTCTATTCATTATTTGTCTGGAAGGAGTCAAACCAGACATGTAAATGTGAAAAGGTCTGCAATCCATCACTGTGCCTTGAGCCCTCCAGTCTTCTGCCTTAATTATTCATTAGGAAAACATCCCAATGGTATCGGAGGGGTGCTTAAGATTTGCCCAGAAATTGGAGGGGATAAGAGAAGTTCCTGCTTAGTGTCAGAGCCAAAGATTGTTCTTGAGATCAATATTTTTCAAAGCAGATAGTTTGCACTAGACAAGAGTTGGTGCCCACTTACTCCAATGTCCAACAGTCTATCTCTTGAAGGAACTAATCCTTCCCTGAAAGATCACTGTGGAAACAGCAGAGCTGGTTTTGAAGTGAGAAACTGGCCAGACAGCATAAGAATCTAACTACAAACACCCTATTAACGCAGACTGTGTAGGGTCAGAAGTTTGTCTCTCTTGGGGTACCCAGGTATTTTGAAAAAGTACCTGCCTGGATGAGCAAAGTCTAGAGAGATTCAGTCAATAATACCAGCATATACAGACAAGCAATAGGCCAGACATCTCATCTCTTCGGTCATAGCCCTAAGCCCACTAAAATCAGTTGGAGTCTTTACACTGACATCAGTGTGTTTTTGGACCATGCCCTAATTTATAACTAAACTGAATCTTTTATCAGTGAAACACTGTAATAAGCAACATAGTGAGGAGTCTAGTATACAAGTCCTCTTCAATCTAACCTTAAATATTTGCGTATTTGATTTAGCCTAAATGGCAGAATCTGAAACCCCTTAACTTCTCCCATGAATGCATCCTTCCCACTTTGCTGTGTCTTGTTTGCAATGATACTTGAATGTTGACCAGTTTTGCCTTGCTGCTCACTTTACTTCTCCTGTTCGCAATATTCATTCATTCCTCCCCCCCCTTTTTGGAATACAAGCTGCTGTGTCCAATTTATTATCTCTCCATGAATAAATCAGAGGATCTGAAGACATGTTCTAGCTCAACCTGAATTCATAGGGTTGATT